GCTTTCACTCATTTGGCATTGTTCATGCTTGTGTGAAGAATGCCATAGAAAACATCAAATAAGAGTAAATGGCACACACAGTGCTGGGGGCTCCACAACCATTCCCTTAGTTTCATTCTGGACACTGATTCAAACACTGCACAGTTAGACACCCGTAACTGTATTCTGTTGTTCTTCTTATTCTTTCTTGTTTTTGTTTTGAATGTGCTGAAGCAGAAGCAAGCAATTAGGTTCCTCATTTTATGATGTGAGGAAAGTACAGATGTGTTAGTGCATTCAGTATATCTCAAAGTCTGCCTTTAACAACTTCTTTAGAAAGAACAGGGGGCACAGTAATTACTCTGAAAAGCTTTCTCTCTCCTTCTGAATCTTTTCACTGACTGTAACAGAAATGGAGCAGCTCAGAGCAGCTAATAACATCAGTTCACTCTTTTTCACTTCTAAGCCTGTGGCATGTAGTTTTCCTGTTCCTGTAGTAAGTAATGTTAAGGAAAAACAAAACAAAAAACAACAAAAAAGAATAATTGCCATTTCAAAACTTTGCTGTTGGGTGCAACACTTTTGGAATGCCCATCCTCTGCTTTTGACATCGCTTGCTTAGTACGGAGAGGACGAGAAGGAGGGCAGGAATGCTGAATAATTGCAATGAAGCTAGAAAAGAAATCTTTTCCTATCAGAGGAAAGTTAATTGGCTTTGTAGTAAGAAGTCTCTTCATGTCACAAGTAAAAACAGTTGCACAAGTAAGCCAGGACACTGACTTGCAGCCTAATACTGCTGTTATAAAAACAAAACTGAAGTCCTAACAGTGAATGGGTCCAGATTGCAGAGTTACTTGTCTGATCTCACAGACATTTATGATGCACACTGAAGAAACCATGGCCTACAAGGTTGTATGGAATTCCATTCAACCTTGTTTGCCACACGGTTACCAAGCAGGAACTGAGTGATTATCTCAAGTGAAATAATGTGTGTTTTAATAAAATTAATGAAATAATTTTATAACACTGCTTAACAACACTGCTCAAATAAATCTCTCTTCTTTCAATAGGGAATTCTGACAAAGCTGATGAATGATTTCAAGAAGCAAAATGCTGTTGTTGCTTCAGCAGCTGTTCGTACACTTCCTGAAATATTTTCCCTCATTGTTCATTAGTGCATCCTACCAGGCTTTTTTTTTTTCAAAGCATAATATCTTTTCCCCACCTTATGCTGACAGCAGAAAGCACATCAGTGTCACAAGGGCCACTGAAAACTGACCAGGAACCTGTTTTTACAGAAATACCAAGAACTTCTTCATTTAAACTACAGGATACAGAAGAATTCAGAATTTTTCACTGGAAAAAATAGTAGAAATAGGACACTTCAATAGAAGTGGCTTCTATACCTTTCTGACCATTGGAAGGCATTGCTGAAATGTCTTTTTTTGTTGTTGTTGGTTTTTTTTTTTAAAAAAGACCTGTTCCAAGTGACCTTCAGCAATGACAGTAAAAGTCCTCCCTCTTTGTTAGAGGTGCAATTATACTTCTGGAAAACAGCCCAGGGAATGCTCAGCTGGATGATAAGTACTTGCATAATTCAACTTCCTTGACCAAACTTTCTTTACAGTTTTTGCCTTCAAATACTTCTCCTTACATGTGTGTTATTTAGGAGTGAAATGTATATAAGTTATCCTAGTGCACTCCTTGCTCTTAATAGCTGTTGGTGTTTCTCAAAAACTTCCTTTTCTATTTCATGCTACGTTATTTCATACTCAAAACTTTCAGATTTAGCAAAACTGCAGCAGAAATGACTTTTTTGATAAGTACTGATAGGCGACTCATAGATTTAAGTGAGAAATAATAGCTTGCAGAGCGCTTCATATTGTTAACTGAGGTGCAAGCCAACTAAATTTTCTTCATTAGTGTTATTGAACAGTTAGTAATTTGTGCAAGTTCTGTGCATTTGGCAGATGCTGGGGCTGTGTGAAACGGGATATCAATAAATGCCAAAGTCTATTGATGGCTGGTGTGTGGAGTTCACGGTTCCTGACCCAGAGAAGAAAACGTGACAGAAAACCTCTGTCCCAGAGGACAAGATTGTTGCCAAGATTGGACAAAAGCTGTGAATACCTTAAGTAATTCCTCGCAGAGCCGCAGCCAGGGACCCTTGTGGGGTCATTCTTTACAGTGATGCAAATGTGAGCAGAAGATTGAAGTCACCAGTGAAATCATAGCAAGGATACTTCACCTTTCTTCCAACCTTGGCCCATTTAGAAATCCATTTTATGTAGTCGTGATTTATAAAGCCCTTGGTTCGTGTGGTCTGTTACAGATCTCAAAGGACACTTAATAAATCAGAATGTGGATTTACATGCACCAGTGCTACCAGAGTGCTATGGCTGTCCAGCCTCTAGAACAGCTGCTTTTTATTCCAACAGAAACACAAACATCTGTGGTTTCTCAGAAATTCTCTTTGTACTTGGGTATTCTGGCTGCTAGTGTTGTATGTGTGCCATCAAGATGCTTCTGGGTTATTTGCCCTTCTTTTCATTCGCCAACCCTCCAGGCAATATTTATAAGGTACAACTAAAAATTCACATGAATCTCAAGCTTGTGTTTCAGTATTTAAAATTAAGAATTACAGAATATATTTATTTGGATATCTCTGTTGATACTGATGCACGCTGTTATAGAGTATTATTCTGATATTAAAGACAAATGATAAATCTGAGCACTTAATATAGAGCAGATCCATTCAAGAGCTTCTATGTACAAGGGAAAAAATGCTGTAGTGATTATAACGTGTTGCAAAATCAAGTTAGTTTCCACAGGAGTTGTAGTTTTCTGCCAGTTCAGTAAACGTTGAACCTCCTTCCCAACATATGCATTAATTGGAATAATGTAAGCACTGCTTATGTCCTTCCCTTACAAGCTACTTGAAGGGAGCTTATAAACAGAAGGGAGACTGCCCAAAAATTATGCTGAGAGTTATTGATAAACACCTGAAGGACAGTGCAATCATTGATCACAGACAACATTTGTTCATGAAGGGAAAGTCCTTCTTAACTAACTTAATTTGCTTTTATGATGGTAAAAATCTAAATGACCAAGGGAAACCAGTTGATGCTTTTGGATTTCAGTAAAGCCTTTGATAGTGTTTCTCACAGTATCCTTCTGGACAAAATGTCCAGCATGCAGTTACGGAAACGTAAGGTGATGGATGAGCAATTGGCATCAGGTCAGGCCCAAAGGGTTATAGTAAATGGGGCTGCATCAGGCTGGTCACTGGTCACTAGCAGGGTGCCCCGGGCTCCGTTTTAGGGCCAGTTCTCCTTAATGTTTTCACAAATAACTTGGATGTAGGACTAGAAGTTAATTTGCACTAGTTTGCTAACTACTAAATTAGAAGGAGGTGTTGACTCTTTTGAGAGTGGGGAGGCCTTGCAGAGAGATCTAGACAAATTAGAGGGCTGAGCAATCACCAACTGCATGAGGATTAACAGGAGCAAGTGCCGGATTCTGCACCTGGGAAAGGGCAACCCAGGGCTATACATACAGAATGGGGGATGAGATGCTAGAGAGCAGCTTAAGAGGATTTGGGGGTCTTGGTCAACAGCAAGTTGTACATGAGTCAACACAGTGCCCAGGCAGCCAGGAAGACCAACTGTATACTAGATTGCATCAAGTATGGCATTGCTATCCAATCAAGGGAAATGATTGTCCCGTTCCACACTGTGCAGCAGTTTGGGGCACCACAATACAAAAAGGACATAGAACTATTTGAGAGTGCTCAAAGGAGGGCAACAAAGATGGCAAATGGTCTAGAGGTTAGATGTTGGGCAGGAATTCTTTCCCCAGAGTGTGGTGAGGTACTGGCACAGCTGCCCAGAGGAGCTGTGGTGCCCCATCCCTGGAGGTGCTCAAGGCCAGGTTGGATGGGGCCCTGGGCAGCCCTGCACACGGCAGGGCTTGGGGCTGAGTGGGCTTTGAGGTCCCTTCCAACTCAATCCATTCTGTGATTCCATGATTTTCATTGCACACATTGCAATGTTTTCAAAGTGATAAAAATTAGATCATTTTTAAAATGAGTTAAAGCTGTGAAAAGGATCTGCTCTTCAGTGTTTCCACATGACCTTCCTCTGCACACTGCAGAAATTTCAAAGCCCCATTCTAATATGTTGGGCAATACAGGAGTGCTAAATTGGTTTCCTTATCTCCCTCCTCAGATGCCAGCTATGTGAGCTCTCCAGAGGCTTGAGGATACCCACAAGGGTAAATGAATCATTTCTTCTTCTGGATGAATCCAGATGCTCTTTTGCTTGGTTTCTTTTGAATTTTGGGATGTTTTGTAAGACTTGCAGCTATCTGATTAGTCTGAAGACACTTGAACATTGAAATGATGGTCATAAAACTTAAGAACCATTGCCTATTGCTGTAGGGAGGGCAGCTAGGACAAGTGCATACCATCAAGCTCCTCCATTGCTGTTTTACCCTTTGATTTCTTCCCTCAACCACTGCACGGAATGGCGATCCCTACTATTTCCTAATGGCCAAAAAGACAGATGACCACAAACACAATTCTAAGAAACCAGAGCTGCCCGCTCCATGCAGCGAAAACACTGCTGAACATGAGATAGTTACGTGAATGGGGGAGGCACACCTTTCCCAAGCCCTGTGGGAAGCGCGGGGCCAAGTCCCTATGGGCCCGGGGGCAGTGAGGCAGCACAACCGCTCCGGCAACGGGGCGGCCGCGCTTCCTGCCGCTGAGGGGCGCTGCGGGGCGGCTGGGGCTCTGCCGGCGGCAGCTGGGGAGGTGCGGGCGGAGCGCGACGCGCAGCTGCCGGGCGAGCCCAGGCGGGGAGGGGGTGAGGCAGGCGGGCTGCAGCAGGGCTGCACCTGCCGGAGCCCGGCTGTGCCCTGCTCGCGTGCGTGCGCCAGCGGCTGCATCCCGCCGGGGCTGGAGTAGTACTTTGCTTCTCCGCCCCGTAGAGCTGCGGAGTTGACATCAGCAGTCTTTCACCGTCTCGACTGCGGCGGGGATGCTGATAAATACACGCGCTACTCCCCTAGCGAGGTACCTGGTGAGTCCTTCTCTCTTTATCGGCAACCTCTTAGAAAATGATTGTTGTTCTTATTTTTATTTTGCTTTTCTGGAGAGAGCAGAGGAAGAGAAAACCTGCGGCAGGGGTCCCGGCAGAGAGCTGCGCGGTGCCGGGTTAGACTGCGCTGCTCCAGTCGTGGGCGCCCTTCCATGTCCGGGAGCATGGGCTGCGCTCGCCCCGCTCCTCTGCACGGACAGATCGAGCGCTGCTGCCGTCGGGAACCTGACCGGAGCTGTGCTTTGTTTCTCTCTCTCTGTCTTAACGCTTTTTAGCCCACGTTACTATGAAAACTGAAGGTAGTAGATTTCACCTGATAGCGATGCTGCAGGCGGCTCTCTTTCGGCAGAAGTGGCGATAAGAATGGGGAGGTTAATTGTCCTCTCCGTGGGTGAGTGGCTCCGTGGAGCTCAGGTGGTGAGCATCTCTCCGTCGTGTGCTGCCCGAAGTTTTCTTCTAGCTTTTTGCTTTGCCTGGAGGCACTGAGAGGCGTGTATTAGAAATTAGCAATCAGTAGGTTGTGCTGACGTTGGGCTTGATGATCTTGGAAGGTCCATTCCAGCTTAAATGATTCTATGAAAAGCAACCTACTTTACTGTTAACTGAAATTATCTGTAATTCACATGTAGTCATCTGGGTTACTTGGTAGTTATTGAGTGCCTCTGCCCAAATTCGTATTTCAACATATTGAGTTCAGTTTGGGCATGGTCAGCTGATGGGCTGACGGCTGGACTAGATGACCTTAGTAGTCTTTTCAACATTAACAATTCAGTGATTCTATAAGTAGAAGTCATACCACAAGAAAGAGTGAATTAAAAGATTCTGTTCCCCAGATCTGTGGCTTTGGGAAGGCTTTGGGAGCTTGGTGGGCTGTCAGCCAGGGCTGAGCTCCTCCTGAGTGTGAGATGATAGAAGAGCAGGGAGTGTGCGAATTACCTGTGAAGTCTATAGGTGTTATTGCTTTGCTGTATGTGCTTCAGGTGAGAGGTTTGTGTGCAAGATGCAGCCCTCATCCCCATCATTTGAAAGCAAAACTTTTTGGAAAAGCATCAGTAAAGATTTATTTTTGACAGTAGGTAGTATGGGGAAATCTTATGGGCTACGCACAGGTGGGGAGGCTGGGACAGGTGATCATAATGAGCCCTTATTCATCAAGCATGTGATCAGGAAAGCTGTGTTGTCTCAAAGCACATGCTCAACACTGTCTTTCCTTCCCCTTGTTCCTTCAACTTTCTTCATGTAAAAGGGCTCAAATAACACTAATGGCTAATTTAGCTTTTGGCTCTATGCTTTTCTTTGCATTTCTGAACCAAGTTATCTCCCAAACGCAACTAGATCCAGAGGTCCACGTCTAAGTGGTTCTAGTGGATTTCTGAAGGGTAAGAGTTGCAATGACAGCTGCTCAGAGTTCTGAGTAAATTTTGAGGCATATGCTATGTAAGGGTTGCAGGTACAGTAATGCTTTACAATATCAGTATACTGAAACATTTTCTGGAGTTCAACATGTTAATATTCCTCAGCTGCCTTCAGAACTACCTCTGCTCTGAAGAGATACTTATCAATGTGTTCTGACTTCTTCAGACTTCATGGTAGTTTGAAATCTTAAGGTCTTTCAGGATGGAGGAATCATAATTCAATTAAAATTCTAGGTGAAAAGCCCTTTTTGTGTTGATGCTGTGTTTCTACAGTGGAAACACAGTGGGTAGGAAGGATCTTATTAAAACCTTTGCAGTGTGAAGTTGCAGTCATCTGCTTGTTTGAGTATCTAAACATGTTGTTATTACATACATAGTGCTATTTGCTCCAAATCACCCTATCAAGGGTAATGTGCGTTTCAAATCTGATGATTAACTCTATTAGTAAGACATTCAGCTTTTTAAAGTGGGGAGAAAGGGAATCTGCTACTTGAGTGAAAGCTGAAGTCATCTGTGGTGTAGGATTGTGCACACTGTTTTCTCAGTTCTTTATTGCTACTTCCTTGTCTACACTTACTCTGCCTTCTTATCAAACTTTCTTGATAGCGGGGATTTACACCCCTGTGTGTTGTCCCAGACCTTGCAAACACAAGAAGCATAAAGAAGCAGAATAAATAAGAATGTCTGGGAAAGTAAACCTTAAAGAACAGTGTGGCTGAGTCCAAGGCAGGTAGTAAAAGGTGTATTCATGATAGCTGGTACACACGTATTTTTCTTTGCCTCTTTAGAGCACTTTTTCCATCCATTTATGTAGAAGAACCACAAACAGATACATACAAATACATACAGCGTATGCCAATGAACGTATGCGTATATGTAAAATGTATACCAATGAAGCCTTCTGTTCAGAGCAGCCTTTGGACTTTGCAGTCAGAAAAAAGCTGTTTAAGCCCTTATTTTAGGTTGTCCTGGATGTGACCAAGTGGCTCAGTTCTGAGTGGGGTTGCTGTGGTTTTTTTTTTGTTCTCCCCACAAGCTGAGGCGTAGCTTCAGAGCAGAACTAATTGTGCAGGAGCTGATTTTGCTTGCTGAATCAGCCTGTGCTGGAGTTTCTTCATAGTTCATTTACTCTAATCTGTGCCTTTTTATTTTCACTGTAACTCTTCCCTGGGAAGGCTTTTTGTATCACTTAGAAATGTAAACATCTCAGAGATGAGACAAGATTCCACTGTCATTTTTACATTTACATTTTTACATTTACATTTTTACATTTACATTTTTACATTTACATTTTTACATTTACATTTTTACATTTTATACTCCACAGAAATGTGTTAACAGGAATCTCCTTAAATAAGCATTTTCTTTATTAAAGAAACTGCCTTTGCCTCTTTAAATGCATAATATAAATGGAATATTTAAATTTTCAAGGGTATCTCTTGTTCTTGTTTCAGTTGCTCCGAATCTTACTTCCAGATAAATTAGAGTGGCTTTTTTTTTGTGTGTATGTGTGCAAAATTACTCTTTGCTGCATCTTTTTATTGTAAGGAAGACTGTGCTTTTCAGAGTGATTGCATTATGCACTGGGTTAAATTGTGATCTGAATACTGCTCTACTTGTTAGTGTCTCTCCACTGTAACAGATACCCTTCATCTGTACAGCTCCACAAACAGTAGCAATGCATCAGCAGAAGAGAGGAAAGCAATCCAAGGCATGAATGTCTCCTTTTTTTTTAAAAAAAAAAAAAAATAGTAATAATTTAGAGATGGAAATAATATAGGAATTGTATGTAGGCTGATCCAAAAGTAATGCATTTTACTTATTTCCATGGAAACCACACCAGCTACAAAGAATTCAACAACATTGTTTGATAGTAGATATTTTCAGCTACAAAAACCTATTTTTCAGCATAGCAGGAAGGTTCAGCCTTTACTGCCATACCACCAACATCTGCCTCTGACACTGTGGGCCAACATAATGAAATAGGAGACATTACTTTTGGTTCAGCCTTTGTGCATAGCACCAATGTATTTCCAGAGCTTGAACAGCAAATTGGAGCTTGAGGTAATCATTTTTTTTTTTTTTTTTTTTTTGTTCAGCATGTTGCTGTGCTTCTACAATGTTATCTGAATACCAGGGAAGCAAATGTCCATGACCATGGGAACATTGTTTCCAAGGATTCTGTTATTTGACAGACTTCTGGGAGAAAGCACTGTTTGAAAGCAAGCCATTTGTCAGTGATATTTTTCATTTGCAGTTACAAAGCAACAGAGTTGATAGCTTTTTGAGCAGTTGAAGACAAGTTTAATCTGAACTTGTTTCCTCATTTCAAGGGGTATCTCAGAACTGGAGAAGAAGTAAATCAGATTTAAGAAGGGCATACTTCATATATCACTTCAGAACTCTGGTTCGTTTTCCTGAATCTTTGCAGGAGATGGCTAGGGCCTAATGGGCTGAGAGGAGAGAAAAGTAGAGGAAATGATTTCCTGTTCTCAGAATATTAAGCCTATTTATGGTAATGAATATGGGAATGATGCCATGGGTAACAGATATTTACACATGGACACATGCTCACATATATGGCTTCAGAAGGAGAAGAGAAGCATAACTCATGTGTACTCTCAATTAAATAAATATTTGGTGTAGGAGTTACCTTCTACTCACTGTGGACAATAGTGCAGAAATAGTACCATTGTGGAGTCGTTAACAGAGGTAGAAGAGAATGAGGCTTATACTCAGAAGTTGGAAATCTCATCCTGGGGAAAAAAAGAATGAAACCATAGCTAAGGTGACAGTAAAGCTGCTGTTTTAACACTGGTTTTGAAACCCTCCAAAACCAGAAACCCACCAGAAAAAAGGTGAAAAAGTAGGATGTGGTTAGGTGGAAAAAAGTTTAGCATGCTATAAAACAATGACTTATCAGATACAGTTGAAAACTAACAAGTGAGAAGGATATCCCTTTGTGGTATTTTCTCTTTCTGCTCGGAGGCGTGCATCCTTCTGTGGAATGTGTATGGTAGCAGAGGAAGGTGGAGAAGTATGAGTAACCTGTGCAAACATAGGTGTCATCTGTCATGTGGCTGGTGCAGCCGTAACAAGTGTGCTGGAAAATGAGGGTGGGACAAGCTCAGAATGCAGTGGAGGTGCTTGCATGCTCATAGATCTTGTACTTTCTGTAGCAAACATTTGTCTAGTTTCAGCTGTTGTAAGTGAAGAACCTGAGCGGATGCCATTTAGGCCAACTTAACTGCATATTCTGCAAATACCTGGATGTTGGCCTTGCATCTAAGAAAAAACATGCATCTGAACTTCCTTTTTATCTGAATTTCTTAAGGCAGAGGTTGTTTTGCTTATTCTTGGGATAATCTTTTAGAGCGTTGTTCACACAGTAACATTCATGGCAAGCTACAAGTCCTTCCTGATTGAATCTCTTAATGTTTGAGACACTGATTTGCCAAGAATTGGTGGTTTACCCCGAAATCACTTTGGTTCATGACCTCACTGATGTTTAAGTTCTACTACGGAAGAGAGCAAAAGCATTTTGAAATGATTTGTGGGAAATGAGTT